AACTGGACAAGTGAGCTTTGGGGTGATGTTCCTTCCAGGGGATGAGCGCCGGTGCCAGAACAGCCTTTGCCAGCAGTGGTGCTTGAGGACACCCAGCAGGGACTCCTTGATCCACGTGAAAGAACGGTGTCATCTCTTGCTCAGCCAAAATGGCTTTCGGGCCGCAGTAGAGCTGCATGGCCAGCTCCAGCATGAGTGGAGGGTAGTCAAGGTCAATGGCTTCCTCCTGCAGCTTGACAAGGTTGATGGTGTCATAGAAGGTGGACATGTCCATAAGGACTGTGATGCCATGCTGCTGCCGGGCTTTCGTGACCTCTTGGCGCAAGAGCCTTTCCAATGCCACATGGAGCACATTTGCCCCTGGTCGTGCCCTGTCATGGCTCATGGTGATCGGCAGATTTTGTTGCCATTGATCTAACAGCGGCTTTCTCAGTCGGCACCACAGTCTCCATAGCGTCGAGGTCAAGGTGATTGGCCGCTCAAGTTTCTGGTTTTTGGGAAGCATGACCACCAGGTGCATTTGAAGCTGGGTTGGCAGTTCAGCTGTGCGTTCCATGTGATGGAGCAATTGCAGCAGCGGTGTCAATGCCAAGGGTGGAATGGACTTGAGCATCTGGACTGAGACTGCATCCGGTCCACTGGCTCTTTCCGGGAGCGTTTTCAGTGTTCGTTGGAGTTGACCTGGTGTGATTGGTTCCAGGGTCAGTGCCTGCCGTTGGGCCATCTGCTTGATGTCAGGTCTGGTGGCCGGATCATTGTCCTGTCGAAGCTTCCATAGTCCTCCCCAATCGGCCAGTCGCTGGTTCATCCGCTGCGGCATGGGTGTCATTCTGTATGGTCTTTCCCAAGCCAACTCACTGCTTTTTAAGCTTCTGAACAGGCCTCGGAGGCCTTTTTGATGCCCTTCTTGCAGCCATTGTCGATACTGCAGAGTGCTTTCGTCCTGAGCATGTTGTTGTGCTTCTTGTAGCTGATGGGCTATGGTCTGTAGAATCAGCTCAGCTGCATGGGGATCTCTGTAACGAAGCCAATGATGACAGGTATCAAGGAATTGTCCCCAGGTGGGGGCTCCGATCCACTGGTTGGGCACTTGGGTAAGCCTTTGGAGGAATCCTCGGACTGGGCCGGTCTGGACTTGCTGTGGTTGTTGTAATGCAAGGGTGAAGACCACTTTGATCTGTTCCCAGAAGGCTGGCTTGCCTTTGCGCCACGTGTGACCCTTTGGCTGGAGCATCAAAGGCTTGGTGACAGCTTGCAGGTTGTGCCCTCTGCCTTGGGCTGCCCATGGGTGTTCTTGTAGTAGATATTGTTTGGTTTTTGGAGAGCCAGTCTGCCCAGGACTGTGCGGCTGTGTTTGGAGGAATGCCATAGTGGTTGATGCAGCGTGCCTGAGACTTGTATGTGGTCCAAGGGCGGAAGTCAATGTCAGGCACTGGAGGCATCGGAGGGAAGTATGCCATTTGTCTGTACTCCCTGGTGGCAGCTTCAATATCAAAGTCCAATTGGAGCAAGGCATGTGGTCTCCATGGAACATCCCATTTGGATTGGAGTGTCGTGGTGCCGGCCAGGGAGTTGTGCAAGACGGCATAATCTATAATGTTCCCTAATATACTGTGGTCTGGCGCCAGTATCCCAAAATGGAACTTGGAGGGCAAGACCGTGCTGGCCAGGGCACTGGGTGGGTTCTGCCAATCCCCGATGAGCACAAAGGGATGTGTTGTGTGGGAGAGCAACGTCAGCAGGTGAGCCAGTATGTCCGCATTGGCTTCACTCTGAAACGTTTCTCCTGTTCGCAAGTAAAGCCCTACCACCAAAATGGTGGTTTCAGTGGCCTGCCATAAGAAGCTTTGGTATCCACAGCCTTTGTGGGTGTAGGATTGGAATTGCGTCAATCCACATGCAGGGTCTGCTACCACCAGGATGCCGCCATGTGTGCCAGTTCGCTCCTGATTTGGCTCAGCCGGAGTGCCAAACACGGTTCTGCCTCTAATGCTGAAGTATTGACAGATCTCCCAATGCTTCTGTGGGTCCAGATGGGTCTCAACCAGGATGTAAATGCCGCTGTCCCTTGTCCAGTACCAATCTATGACTTGCCTGCCAAGATTTGTGACATTGGCATAGTGCAAGGAATTGTGACCTTGTGTCAAGCGGGCCTTCTTGATTGGGCTGGGATGTAGCGGTGGTTCAAAATCTGGTTCTTCTGCTGGCGGTAGACCTTGTAGCACCTGTTGTGGTGATTTGAAGCAGTCAATGTTGACAGCCCAGATCTGTGTGATCTGACTGGCTAATGCCGGTGTGAGGTGTGGCAAGTGGGTGGGAACCTTGCCGTCATCTGCTAACCACATCAGATCTCGGTAGATCAAGATGGCGTAGTAGTGTCCCTCCTGATGCGATTGGCCTCGATGACATATCAACACTGCCGGCACGAATTCAGTGGAGGTTCTGGAGAAGCCATCGAGAGACCTTGGCATAGTAAAGGTGCCGTAGGGGTTGAAAGGCTTCTGATGCTTAGTCATGACCCCCTCAATGCAGGTGTTCCTGGTGACATGGCACACCAAGATCTTCTTATCATCCATCAGGTATTGTCCCATGCCCTGATTGGCCCAGTTGTTGGCTAGATCTTGAAAGGAGACTCCATCGGGCCAATCATCTGGAAATGGAATCAGGATGGGCTGCTGGACATGATCTGCCAGGTAACCACCTTCACGAATTTCAGCAAATCGGTAGTGAAAAGCTCGACTTTGGGAGAGCAACCACAAAGAGTTCACAAAATGGCTTGCATCACCTTGCACATTCAAGTCATGCTGCTTCCAGAGGTCCTTCAACCCTGGCAAAGCTTGGAGGTCGACAGGCTCGGCCATATCTATCGACTCCTGTACTGCCTCTTGTAAGGTGCCCCACGGTTGTGTGCTTGTCTCCTGCAAAAGAGCGCACACCCATGTGAAGGCTCTCCATGGGGCATTTGCAAAACATCGCAAGCTCGGATTGCCAACCACCATAGTGAGGTTTTGGAGGATGCAATCTGTTGATGTGGCATAGTTTTGCATGCCTGCAGTCGTTGGAGTGGAGGTGGAAGGAGTCAAAGGACTCGTCGGGGCCCCTCCCAAAATGGAAAGGTACGTCAGACCATCAGGCGTCTGGCTAGCCGTTGTGCTCTCAGCCAAGAATGTTTGCCTGGGGTCATCAAAACTGTGTGTATTGTGCTCTTGTCTACCTGTGGTTGAATGTTCCCCTTCAAAGGTAGGAAAGAGCTCCCTTGTGTATTGGTCAGCTGATTGCTGTGCATTGTCCCCTGCACACAAAGTAGCTGAAAACCCACAATGCTGATCTGAGCCTGTGTCAGCGCGGCAAACCGGTTGTGGTGGAGGTACTGCCATCAATCGATCAGCTTCATCAAAACTGTGCTCTTCACTTGAAATCGTCAAAATCGGACTTTCATGGCCTTCACATGACTCCATGTCATCTTCCGGAACCGGGAAAGTCCAGCCCTGATACATGAGTGAGCTCATGTTACCCACACTGTCCTGTCTTCCCCAGGGCAGGTGTCTCAGTTTTCCGCCGCTTGGTGGGGTCCTCTTGATCTTGGTTAGGTCGTTTCAAGAGGCCATGCAGCTGAGTCTTCTGCTCGTCTGTCAACGAAATGCCCAGGCTATGGACAAAGGATTCAACAGCCATGGGAATCTGTTCAGCTTCTCCATGGGCCGCCGGCAGCTCAGAAGGTGTTGGTGTCTGATTGACTGCCTTCATGTAGTCATCAGAGAGACTTTTGAGGGATTGCTGGCCTTCAGTGAGCTTCGTTTGAAGTTCCTGCATGTCGGTCAGCAGGGCTGCATACTGTGCCTTGACATTGTCAATCTTGGCCTGGAGCTGGGTCTTCCTCATGGACAGGTTTTTGAGCTCTGTCACACGACCTTTGAGTTTGCCCGCAATCTCTTTCTCTGTGCAAGGCTCAGGCGTGGTTAGTTTGTTGACCAGATCCTGCACCTGCTGGGGTAAAGACTCCATGTGGGACTTGAGGACGTCCTTGAGTTCCGGCTCTTCTGGCTTTTGAGGTCCGATGCCAAGGGCTTGCAATCGAGTTTGCGTGTCCTCCGTCAGTGTAGTCCACGTGGTTGCCAAGAGGTCAGTGGCCTCCTGTTGCATCTTGGAGATCTTGAGCGGTCTGACTTTTGGTAGGCCTGGTGGAGCTTCTGGCCATTGGCGTGCTGCTTTGGTCAGCTTTCCGGTCGGTTTGCCATACCCTTTGCCTTTGCCTGTGCTCGTCAGTGGTGTCATCCACATTGTGCCACACCTTCGACACCTGTTCCCAGGGTACATCTTGTCCTGCCAGATCCAATTTGCACATGTAGACTTGGTGCAAACTTGATATGCACGGCACCAGTTGGTGGACATGGTGCCTAGGGTCTGGATCTCAGGGAACAAGGCAGGGTGCAGGATGTAGTGTGAAGTTCAGGGCACCGATCACGTTCAGGCCTGGAAGGTTCTTGAGCAAGTAGGGATTACGGGCAAAGTGGTACTCGAACTTGTCCCGAGTGAGGAAGAAGGTCAAGGCGAGCTCTGCCAGCCACCGAAGTTCTCAACAAGAGTGTCCAAGGTGAAGTCGAGGATAGCTAGCAAAGGAGTCCAGTGCCGGTGTCGAACTTCAAGAAGTCTATGGCGCTTTCTCCTGTGCCTGGCTTTGTATGGGACCAGGTTGAGACCTCAAATGGCTTGAGCCTTGTATGTATGTATGTATGTATGTAAGTATGTATGTATGTATGTATGTATGTCGCTACTCTGTGCTACTACTTCAGGGCGTTGTAATTTCGGAATTTCACTGAAGTATCAAGCAAAGGGTTTTGTGTATTTTCAGTCAGTGATCTGGTTGGATGATTGGAAGAACACAGAGCGTAGGGCACACCGTGCGAACAGGTAGGACTGTGGCAGAAAAAATGTCATTCTGCAGTTGGCACAGTGGACGTGCAGGCACAAGGATTTCAGCGGCACTGGACATACTCCGCCTCCGAGGTGACGTCATACACCATCAGAATTCCCATGGCACTGCGATAGTACCTCTGTACTCTGTGTCGCAAAATCTTGACTCAATGAGTCGTCGTCTACTGGAATGATCAGCGCCATACAAAACACGCTGCTGATATATATATATATATGTATGTAGAAGTACTGTGCAGCTGCAAGTAGAACTTTTACAATAAAATCACGGCAAGTTGAACTTCTGAGATTTTCACTGCTGTGTGATTGTTTGAAAGCGTTCCTGTCCAGCTGTATCCCAAACCTGCAGCTTCACTCGCTTTCCTGCCAAGAATAAATCTTCAATGCCCTTTGCATCAGTGTGTCTCAAAGCTGCTTTCTGGCTGCACGAAACAAGAACCTCTCATCCACAGCATTTTGGTCTTGTAGTCAATCCCTGGAGTGGCAAGCAAGGAGTCATGAATGTCATGAATCATGAAGGTTCAGTTGCAAACGAACCTCAATCAACCACAAAATATCTGTTTGCCTATCGTTGAGAGTTTCCCATGCTTGACAGTGTCGTCCACAAACTTGAGAACCAATGCAGTTTTTCCAACGCCTCACTGGAGCAACTCGATGACTTACAACTAGACTCATACTCAACCCAAGAATGGCAATGCACAAAATAGACCGGTGGCTTTCTGAGAATGCGTCCTGAGTCACCAATCCTCAGTGAACTGCAAGAAACAAATGTTGTCCTTGTGGCAATCTGGGGCAGCAATTGGCCAGGACAAGAACCATGCACACGCATAGCATGTGCCGCAAACTCTCCATCAAGCCAAGAAACATCATCAATTTTATGAAGAGATCGCATGCCATTCCGAACTACACTACCTACCTATGATGAAGCAGCCACTTGCTGAAACTCTCTAGCGACTCCATTCCACCTTGATGCGAGCATGGGTGAGTCATTCCGAATTATATATCTACGTGCCATAACAGTGCACCTCGAGCCCAAACAAACTTAGCAAAGATACTAGGGCAAGGATTGCTCTTGAGTTCACTTGTTTCGTCAATAATATTGTTAAATATGGATCATGTCGCTCTGAATCTGGTTCGGTTTACACTTTTCCCCGACTGCGCACAAACACGTGTTGAGAAGGATTGTGAGGATGCCCGCAGATCACTAAACTACAGCCACTGAACGAGTTGCGGTTGCAAGTCTGCAAGAAGGTGACCCACACGCGAAGCCGTTTGCAGCCCAAGCCGCTGGAAACTACTTCACTTTCAACCATCACAAACAAAAGCCACGACAGGACTCTGATTGGCTCGACTCTCAACGTTACACGATGACCTCTGACACGCTGCCAAGTTGACTCGGGCAAGATTCTTGTGACTGAAGATCCTTGCTGAAACAGACCTGGCATATGGATCGTTCGCTGGAACATTGGCCTGCGAATTGATCGTGCAGCCGCAAAGCAGTTTGAAAGTAATTGAGCTCATTCAATCCCGAACACGTTCCATGCTTCTGCCACTCGTGCCGCCAGAACTCATCCTCAGATTCTCCATATTCAGGACAAGAAGGCCACTTGCTTTGCAAGTCTTGACGAATGTCTCGCAAGGCATTCATGTCAAAATCAGGTCCTTCGCACCCGTTGCCCCACTCAGGCCACAAACCATGCAACGTCCAGTTTTGTGAGCCTTTGCACTTTTGCATCTTTAACTCCCAGCATTGACCACCAGGGTATGCACATTGTTCCACGGAGCTTGAATTCACAAGACCCAGTGAAAGAATTAGAAGGGGAGAGACCATGGCCTTGCAAGGTTCGATTTCGAGCAGCTCAGCCAAGATTCTGCGAATGCAAAATAGAAGGCAATCACACTAGGCCTGGTTTAACACCACTGTAAGTCAAAATAGTATCAAAGGTGACTGGTGGGTCACTCCTGACCTGGCATGAACTGGCACGGTTGTATTCGGAAACTGGGACGGCTGTATTCAGAAACTGGGACGGTTGTATTCGGAAACTAGAGGGATGCATTAGGAAACTAAACGGTTGTATTTGGAAACCTGTATTCGGAAACTACAAACCTATATTCGGAAACTGGCACGGTTGTATTCGGAAACTGGAGGGAACTCGGAAACTACGAAGAGCAACACCAAACATTACATGGAAACAAAGCAAAACTACAGGGAATTGACTTCTTCGCACCGCGGAGACTGATAAGCTCAGTAGTAAGTAGTGAAGGTACAATTCATTAGTAAATCAAGCTCACTTACTGCTGTACAATATACACGTGTGTCATTTCTGGTTTAGCTTTGTATTATAACCCCAACCCCAACCCCCCCAACCCCACCTATGTTTATTGCCCCCACTCCCCACCCCACCTGAACGGAGAATTTAGGCTCTTAAACTCTGTGACCCCAAGTCACTGT